GTGCATGTAGACCTCTGCGGCTTGAAACCTTCTCCACAAATAAAAAAAATTGGATTTGGCCGAAATATGTTTGAATCGTTACCTTTGTTTCGTTTTGTCGCTGTGTGTACATCTGACTACACTTCTTAACGTTATGACAGGACAGACCGACTGTCAACAACGTCTGACCGTGGCCGTGACGTCTCATAGACTAGGGTTAGAGTAGCTTCCCTTTGACAAAGGGCAGTTACTCTACTGGACAGACTGATGGATTGCCGCGAAAGACGAATTAAAAACAACTGTTGTTTTGCGTATATGTTGCTACGCCACTGTATAAGAAACAGATTTCAGTTGGAACTATATAGGCTACTGTCACTGTCACATCACTTACCCTGTGACGTAATAAATATTAATGCGCGCATTCCAGGAAAACTCGCAATATTTCGGTAATGTTTGTGAGAGAGGGAAAGCGATTTTAAAGCACAGAATTGAAGAATGACATTATATGATAAAGAGGTTATCACGCTTGTGTGTTTGGGGATGGTAAATATCCTGTATTAGGAATAAACACTATGTATTTAGCTCGCCAAGGCTCGCTAAATACAATGTTTATTCCTAATGCAGGATATTTACCATCCCCAAACACACTCGCGTGATAACTTCTATAGCTACGCAAAACTTAAACTGCCCGGTGAGCGGAAGGTTCTTGGTTCGCATGGGCGAGCACTATAAAACCCGCATATGTCCGGGGTAGTAAACGGACACACACACACACACACACACACACACACACACACACACACACACACACACACACACACACAATATAATTATCCTTGTCAAATCATGATACCAGACAAAACAGGAGCGTTCATATTTGTTTGGGTTGTTTATTGTTAAACGTCGCATCAAGTAATGGGTCAGAGTGATCTGAAAGCTAGCAGCACATTTCCAGCGACGTGACGTCGGCCTGTAAATAATTCAGCTTGGATCGCAGAAAACATTTATCTATATCATTAGCAATACCCCACACCATCAGCCATATCCCCGCCCGTCACAGTCTCTCCGTGGTACGTTGAGGATACGAACGTTCTTGTCCGTGTAAAGGATCAAAAGACCCACAGGGACCAAATGTTAGAACTTTGTTTTCGTGACGCGTAGGTCCGGGTTAGGATTAGCCTCCAGCAACTCTTGCGTGTCGTACAATGAGACCATATCGATCGGTGGGTAGGGCTGTTGGACTTCAACAACTGCGTGGATCGATGGTCGTGTTAATTATGTGTCCTTGTTTGCCGATATCCCATCATCACACACGCTTCATTTCAGGGTGAGTGAAGAAACAGTCTTCTGTCAACATTTATTGCTTTTGTATTTGTTTATGGAATTTCAGTGTGAAGAACTAATGTTAAATCCTGGGGGATATATTTAGAATTCTCACTCAAAATGGTTTCATTTACATTGTCCAAACAATTGAAATCCCATTTTGACGCCTACTCAAAATTATTACACTTCCTTAAATATCTTGATTTACATATAAAGTTTTGCTTGTTTAAAACCAACTATATGACCATTTGAGCCTATAAGATTTCTCGTGGATGCTTGTATCCCAAATATGTACACCTGAGTAACCTGAAGATATATTCTATTATTGAAAGTTTGTATTTTAGCTAAGTGAACAAGTCGCAATCTCTTCAACGGAAAATGAAGCAAATTTTGCAAGGCTTGATTCTACTTCGCGCTTCTCTATTATGACGTCACATTGTTTATTGTGACGCAAAATATATGACAGAAGCAGAAGAAGAAGAAGAGGAAGAAGAAGAGGAAGAAGAAGAATATTTTATTATAGTGTCACCCGCTGTACATTTTAAATGATAAGGCAAGAATTTAATACTCAGCGGCCGGCCAAAATGGACGACGAGACACTAAAAGACTCATAAAAACAATATTTTATATATGTACACACCACATGTAATAGTAATTATGAAAATAACACTCATAATATTTTCCCCATACAAGCATCCTATATACACACAACCACATCCAGTCCTTCACAAACATACCCGCTCATTCAATCACATCCAAACCCTTATTGACAACTGTTCAATCACACCCGGACCCTCATTGACAACTGTTAAATCACACCCGGACCCTTACCCACACCATCACACATTACCCTCACGCACACCCTATTTCTCAAACATACCCTCACCTGTACCCATTCCCGCATCCATACTAACTCCCTTATCTGTATTATCAACCACGTCCTCACTCGCATCCACATCCTTTCCCGCTTCCACAAAAAGAAGCATCAACCACGTACAAAGACACTAACAAAGTAACAATCCATTGTCGCATATACACGCTCCCAACTAACCAACACTCATACACACACAATTAAACCCGACAATACGAAACAAGCATACAGCACCATCTTAGGGGCCAGTACCTCATCACATCCAGCAGCATCTCCATACTGCAACCATACAACACAGCAAAACATTATAATAAAAGATAGGAATTATCACATGTATACACCCAATTTATTGTTTTATATTATATTTTCTCCTCAGAAACATTGAGAAGATTAATGCAGCAAGTGGTTTAACCAGATCGCCGCACTGCATTGAGAATACGGTTTGGTCTGCCGGAGACATGGAAATAAAAGAGGGGTTAATAAGGTATACTTTCTGCCAAAGATAAAGTCTTAGATCTCTATAACAGTCACACGTTAGCAAAAAGTGAACTTCATCTTTAAACAGTTTGGCCATTACATAATTTACAGACGCGTTCAGAAACAGGAGTTTTCGGACGTGTATAACGACCTCTTTCTAATTCTAAGAGTAAAGTTCCACAGCGAAGTTTAAAGTGCTTCGTCGTGATCTATCCAGAATATGACGTACATCTAAACGTTCCGATCTTATCACCTGTAGTATGGCCAGTGTCCTTCCAAAGTCCACGAAACCAGTTTTCTCTATCAAGTTCTATCAATTTCGATTTTAAAATTTGGAAATCTATATTAGTATACCAATATTATACAAATCCAAAAATGGTAGATCCAAAGAACCAAACATTCTTACAACTCTGCTGTCCCGGGACTTTCTCGGTATAACAGAGACCAACTTCTGATATGAGCTATAATTCTCTATCAGGGAGCTAAATTCAACTTCTTCCAGAAACGAACAACTTCAATTTTGTGTTTAGTAATAATCGATGACCAACAATCTCACCTCATACGGCCAAATTAGGAGTAGTTTTTCCTACACCCAAGAAAAAGCGGCATGCTCTATTTTGGATGGCATTTATGCAACTAATTTCTCTGGTTCCCCAAATTGCCGCACAATACGTTAAGATAGATTGTACAAGATTATCATACAAATACTGAAAACATCATAGGTAATTCCGCCAACTAATTTAAATTCACTTATAATTACACTGAGGGCTCTTCCAGCCGATATAGCAATTTGTTTAGCTGTGAAATTTAAATCTAGGTGTTCCTTGGGCCGACATAAAACCTGTAGGTGTATTGAAGCGTAGGCGATATGGGAATAGCCCCTCTTTCGCCAGAATCAGTGGGAATCTCGTTCATCTATTCATGAATGTCACAAATGATACATTACGCTACGTAAAGAGAATTGTATAGTGTCATGAGGTAACAAATAACATACAGTTTCAAATAATGTAGAGAGACTTTGTTTATTAGGACACGCCCTTCATACTCATGAAATACCATACAGTAAAAAGAAAATATAGCATGTAAACGCCACTCCCATTGGTTATGAGGGACGTCACTTAAAACATATACATACACATAACTACAATATAATAGAGGTAGGTAGGTGGTGTATATATTCATTTATCACGTAAAGAGAATTGTATAGTGTCATGAGGTAAACAAATAACATACAGTTTCAAATAATGTAGAGAGACTTTGTTTATTAGGACACGCCCTTCATACTCATGAAATACCATACAGTAAAAAGAAAATATAGCATGTAAACGCCACTCCCATTGGTTATGAGGGACGTCACTTAAAACATATACATACACATAACTACAATATAATAGAGGTAGGTAGGTGTTGTATATATTCATTTATCGCGTAAAGAGAATTGTATAGTGTCATGAGGTAAACAAATAACATACAGTTTTAAATAATGTAGAGAGACTTTGTTTATTAGGACACGCCCTTCATACTCATGAAATACCATACAGTAAAAAGAAAATATAGCATGTAAACGCCACTCCCATTGGTTATGAGGGACGTCACTTAACACATATACATACACGTAACTACAATACAATAGAGGTAGGTAGGTGGTGTATATATTCATCTATCTATTCATATACATAAACACACAAGCGTACACACGTGTTTACACACATGCACGCGCACACACATACATGCATCCATACATACATACGCATGTACGCACACATATACATACACAGTTACACACACACGCAAACACATACACACACACAGTTGTACACGCACGCACGCACGCACACACACAGTCACACATACACATACACACAGTTACACACACATGCATACAGTTACACACACATACACATACATACAGTTACACACACATACACTATCTATCTATCATACATACATACATACATACATACATACATACATACATACATACATACACACACACACACATAAATACATATACACACACACACACACACACACACACACACACACACACACACACACACACACACACACATACATACATACATAGTCACACACATACACCACCTCCCCTATATACATGTACATATATATACATAATTATACAAATACCCCCACGCCCCAACGTATGTATACCCCACATATATGCAAAGCAAACGCCAAAGTTCCATCTTATACAGTCACGGCCACTTTGGTGTATTCAGATTGTCATGCACCTCGCTGTCGCATAACTATATAGATATGCTACCACAAATAGTATGTAAAGCGCCCCGATATACTTGCATTAGTCCGTTCTGTACTGATTTCTGAAAAAGCGCGTTTGTTTACAAACAAGAGAAAAGTCTGGTCAAATTAGCATATGGTGTTATGTCAAGTCACCTGTGCGCCGGAGTGTGATTAACAACTTTAGCTTACATTGTTGTCCTAGGCGACGCACAACAGTGGTATTTGTGGCGTCATAATAGAGGGATGAGTAAACCGTAGTCCTTGGCGACACCCAGCGTTATGTTTTTGACGTCATAAAACCTTTGACGTCAAAGTTAGTAATAATAGAAGGAGGTACAAATACATTATGGCGTTGGTGCACAAATACACGTTGAGGTACATGGGAAAGTTTTGAAAATTATACTTTTAAATTAAGTTTAGGTTTCAAAAGCCTGATGAATAGCTGTTCTTTTTCCATTCGTAAATGTTTGTTATTGTTAAACATTTCGTAAAATGGAAAGACAGTAACATAGAGTATATATATACTCACAAGACACTTCCCTCTCACGAATAACGTCGTCCACTTTTACGACGTCATATAAATATACGCAAAGAAAACAGTTAAGCACACCCTAATATATTTCATTATTGTTTGGTCCCAATATTTGTAACAGTCATGAAAGATATAATTACGGGAAGAATTATGTTTTCTCGAGATGATGTAATCAGTCATGCGTCACGAAAGCTCACGTGTCATGCATGGTATGCCCGTGCAGCATGTTACCCTCGAGTTTCTCTAAAAGCAGTATTTCCAAACGTTAAAACTGCTTTCTTAAGCTCGGTTTTAAACAGTTATTCCATGACATTGTGTGATCATGGCACGAAGGCGATTATCAAAGATGGCAAAAAATCGGCATGCATAACGCAGGAATGTCTTGTAATGCCATTGGTCGGAATTTAGGGTATCATCACACTGTCATATGCCGTTTAGACGAGAAACATGATCAGACCGGTGATGTACAGGACCGTCCCAGATCCGGAAGACCTCTTGTGACGACACATCGTCTCATACGCCGATTACCCTTTTCAACAAGTACTCGTCTGAAACAGCTGTGGTTGCCCAATCGTCGTTTCAGCACCAGAACCGTCAGGAATCGACTGAAAGCAACAGGACTGAGGGCTAGACGAGTCATAAAGCGCCCCTTGTTGAGAGATCACCACGGAGACGGATCCATTGGTCTGACAAAAGAGGCTTTCTGCTCCACATCACTGATGGAAGAACGAGAGTTTGGAGGCACCGGAACACGGCCTACACCCCCAGGAACATTACGGCGTGGGTTCGGTAATGGTTTAGGGATGTATCTCTCATGATTGCGTTTGGATTTGGTCAGCATAAGGGGCAACTTAACAGGGGCTCAGTACATCCGGGGCGTTTTGAGGCCAGTCGTCGTTCATCATTTTGACACCCACCCTCTTGCTACTCGACCTCAGTACATGGATGACAATGCCAGGCCTCATCCTTCACATGCAGTCGTGGATTACATGAGGGCCAATGCAATAACGACTCTTCCCTGGCCAGCAATGGGCCCAGATTTGAACCCCCTTGAACATGTTTGGGATATTCTGGGGCGGCGCGTACGGGAACAAGATTTACGCCAATTGAAAGCAGCATTGCCTCAGGAGTGGCTGTTGATGACCCATCAACAGATCCAACGTCTGACTGGAGGCATGAGACGTAGGGTGGAATGCATCATCCGGGTACGTGACGGAAATACCAGCTACTGATCTGTTTCATGTGTCATGTCAAGTAGAGACTTTGAGGAACATTTTCACATGAAACATCAAACGGAACTCGTTTACTTAATCCTGCAGCTCCATACGTTTTTTTAGGTATTGTCTAAGGTCAAAAACAGTACCGGTGTTACAATGATGTTATTGTCGGTACATTGTAATAATCACAACCTCCAATAGCTTCTTTATTTGTTGTCAAATATTTGTTCTATCCAATGACATTGGTGTCGCCAAGCTCCTGTGGTCAGTCATCCCATGCTATGATTTTGCCATTTGTCATGTTCCAGCAATAGGGGTGTGCTTAAGTTTTTTCTTTGTGTATATATAGCAATAAAATAAGTAAGAGACATGGTGTAAAATTGAACACCGTTTTAACTGGCTAGCGGTTTCAACTCAAGGTGTAGGTTCATTATCAACATGAAGTTAATTTTGCGGGAAAACAAACAAAAATGCTGCTTCCACTTGTATCTAAATGTCCACTTAGTGGAATTAAATACACATATATTATTGATTATTATTACGTTATTAGGAACTTTGTATATATATATGAAACAGTAATCAACTATTTGCTTATCATCTAAAAACAGGCTTTATTCTTTTGGAAAAATGGAGGTCATGCGATTCCAGAAACTTCAAAACTGTTGCATACATGTTACAAAACAAATTGCTTTTTTGTAACATCAAAACAAGATTGGAAATAAGATAAATAGACATTATCATTATCAACGGACTGAATATAAAACGTTAACGCCAGATAATAACCAGTCTCGATTACCCGCCGAAACAGATTCCATTGGGCGTAAAAGGCAAAACAAAAGTTAAAATGGATGATCACTAAAAATCAGAGATGACACCAGGAGATCGCGAACATGAATTTCAAACAAGACATTACTTGCATGGAAACATCTTAACTGACCTGCTCTTGCCGATTGCAATGCATTATGTGTCACAAATAACATGTGTTGATTCCTGTTTTACATGTCACAATCGAGAACACATAAAAAAAACATAGTCTCTCCTGGCACGCACCAGTAACCCATAAACAATATCACATCCTCGCGTCTAATGAACAGTTTAACCCTCAAACTGTTACTACTGGAGTCCCCAAGTCAATGGGTGCTATAAGGGCCTTGTCTCCAAAGTAAATATATCGGAACATCTCTCCTGCTGCACAATGCCATGTTCTTATGGACCAAGCGTTCAATTTGTGTCTTATGAACAGTTTAACCCTCAAACTGTTACTACTGGAGTCCCCTAGTCAATGGGTGCTATTAGGGCCTTGTCTCCAAAGTAAATATACCGGAACATCTCTCCTGCTGCACAATCCCATGTTCTTATGGACCAAGCGTTCAATTTGTGGGCAATTAACTGTGTTCGGATCCATGTATGAACAGCATAGTTTTTATTTTGCCAATCAAAGGGACTTGCCCCATATTGAAGAGCAAAGCTTTCTCCTGGGTTTGGATGGTTCATGGACGTAGCCTCAGTATGGATTAGATTGGGGTACTTGTGGGCCAATTGGGCTGGAAGTACGACAGAATGGTAGCCCCAGACCTTGTCATTAAATGTTTTGTATTCCTTGTACCAGATCTTCATGAAGTCAGCCCACGGCTTTGCCACCATAATGCCGTTGCAGAGGCCGCCTGGAGTCTCGTACCCCATCGTCACGTCGTAGCTGTGACATAAAGAAGCATTGTCAAATTTAAACAGAAGCGTTTTCTGTCAAAGGCAGCATGTGGGATAATTAGGACCCATCCTTTTTTAATATAATTTGTTTACAAAACAACAGAACTAAATGGCTCAAAAAGAAACAAAAATGCATATTTTAAAGCAAGTACTGAACTTATATCCTGTCTCTAATATAACAAGGGTTCGGGCACCTCACCTGGAACGTTAAACGGCAATTTATGACGAGACTATGGAATACTGTAAGGGACATTCTCGCGATCTCGCATTCTCGCGATCTCGACCTTTGGAAACGAGCTAAATATGCCAACAACACGAGAATGCGAGATCGCGAGAACGCGAGATTTGGCCAAATTGCGAGATCGCGAGAATGCGAGATCGCGAGAATGTCCCTTACAGTATTCCATACGAGACCGGTGTTTGTTCGCCTGTTGGTTGGTTGTTTAACGCCGCACTCGGCTATATGACGGCGGTCATAGACAATCTCGTGATTGACATTATGAACATCGATCAAAACAATTGGAATACGATGACATGCATCAGCCAAGTCACTGAGCCTGACCATGGCCACCCAATGCCTTCAGACCAATTCTAACCCGAGTCGGCACGGGTGAAGAAACCGGTGCACCAGATGGAGTGAGTGAGATGGGTTCAACGCCGCTTCTAACAGTATTCCAGTTATATCTCGGCGTGAACCAATTGGAGAGTGGTAGAGAACTGAATCGGTATCAATGTTAAAGGTGACAATGTTATGAGAACGACAGTCTGAATATCATGCTGAAACTGATACTGGTAAACATGTGATAATCGTGTCTCATTGAGGCATTTGGTTTTCATTAAGTGAGTGAGTGAATATAGTTTTACGCCGCTTTAAGCAATATTCCAGCATTATCACGGCGGGGGACACCAGAAATGCGCTTCACACATTGTTCCCATGTCGGGAATCGAACCCGGGTCTTCGGCATGACGAGCGAACGCTTTAACCACTAGGCTACCCGACAGCCCCGTTAGTTCATTAAGAGTGAGTATGGTTTTAAGCTACTTTATAACGGCAATGTTACAGTAACAGGATAAGGGACACAAAGAAGAGTTTTTACACTCATGTTGGTCAGGTTATAATTAGGTTGGTTGGTTGGTTGGTTGGTTTGTGGTTTTACGTCGCACTTAGCAATAGTCCAGCTATATGACGGCGGTCTGTAAATAATCGAGTCTGGACCAGACAATCCAGTGATTAATATCATGAGCATCGATCCACGCAATTGGGATCGATGACATGCATCAACCAAGTCAGCGAGCCTGACCACCCGATCCCGTTAGTCGCCTTTTACGACAAGCATAGTCGCCTTTTGCGGCAAGCATGGGTTGCTGAAGACCTATTCTACCCCGGAATCTTCACGGGTCGGTTATAATTAGGTTTTTGATTAGCATTTAGAAGTGATACACACAAGGAAGAGAATCTATGGATGTCAACTTTTTTATTATGAGGAACACGTTTCGGAGTATGTACTCACTCCTTTATCAGGTGAATAAATGCTATGAAGCAGAGAACATATATATGTACCTGTAAGAACAAAAGTAATATGATAACAAAGGTGGAAACTTAGCCAACAGCTGATTGACGCTGATAGGGGAACATCCCAAATCAACCATTAAGTGTTGGCTTCCATTTGTCCATTGCAAATCACCAATCAGTGCTAACTAACTGTTGGCTTCACTTGTTCTTACAGATACATATATATGTTCTGTTTCATAGCATCTATACACCCGATGAAGGAGCAAGCATATACTCTGAAACGTTGTGTTCCTCATAATAAAGAAGTTGACATTCACAAATTCTCTTCCTTCGTTCATAATTGTTCAGTCACTTACCGGAACAGTGGTTGGAAGGACTTAACAGCGAGCACATCGAGATCAACGTAGGTTCCGCCAAACTCCAAGATCGCCTCAAGTCTGACAATATCCGACTGATGTTCAGGAACTTTGATTTCACGTCCCATGATTTCTGTTGGAGGATCCCTGACCACAAGTACAATCTCCGGAACACGTTCCCTTGTCTGGTGATAATATGTCCCTTCCGGAATGAGATCACACCAAAACAGGATGCGGGTAGGTTTCAGGACATTTCGGATGGACAACAATGATATTAAATGATGAAATAAAAACGTGTTTCTCTTTGGTCCACCATACCAAGTAACATGAACTATATTAGGCACCACAGATTCGTTATGAGTTGTTGATCTTTTAAGATCAACAGTTTCGTTGAGTTTTTGGTAGAATGTCGCATTCCGAAAATACCGGAAATAGACTGTGCCGTTCGCAGGTGGAGCACGACATATTCCAGGGTATATACAGTCTTTATTATCATAGTTAATATTCTGGTATGTTATTCGTTCAGCAGGTGGGGTATCAGTACTTTTGTTTATCGGGTATTGAGTAAATAAACTGGAGTACACCCTTCGGGGGTTATACTTGAGTGTTGACATGAAGATGCTGCCGAGGAGAAGTGTCAACCCTATCAACCCAAAGAAGTTGCGTCGTCTGCACAAACAGTTGGCCAGGAACTGTCTGCAGGACCTGAGGAGAAAGAACACATCCGTGGGTTAGCGACACGAACACCGTCGCAGGCATGATCCCCGCAAATATATCATCGCGGCCTGTAAATAATCATTTTGGACCAGGACAACATCAACCATCAATGTTTATTCATTTCTTTGTGTGGGCCACAGGCCCATTCGACATTACAGAGTTACAAGGGATTACCCTACCCTCAAACTACCCTAAGGGTCGGGTCCGGGGCGTGGGGTGTCGGGTGTGGGGTGTGGGGTGTGTGTATGTGTGTAGGGGGGGGAGTGGTTTAAAGTACGACACTTTCCGTAAAAGAGTTGCGTCCCTTACATTGTAAATGTGCCAGGTTCGAATCCAGGATTTGGGTCTATGGCGTAACTTGCGTTCGCGCTACCGAACCGCCCCTTAACGAATGTTTTGTTTATTGTTGTTTAACGCCACAGTCAGCAATAGTCCATCTATATGACGGCGATCTGCAAATGATCGAGTCCAGAATCCGATGATTGACATCATAAGCATCGATCCACACAATTGGGATACGATGACATGCATCAACCAAGTCAGTGAGCCTGACCACCCGATCCCGTTGGTCGCCTTTTACGACAGGCATAGTCGCCTTTTACGGCAAGCATGGGTTGCTGAAGACCTATTCCACCCCGGATCTTCACGGGTCAGTGGTATAAAGCTTGTATATAAGGTGAGTGAGTGAGTTGGGTTTAACGCCGCTTTTAACATTATTCCAGTCATATCGCGGCGTGTCAGCTTAATGTGGGAGGAAAGCCCGAAGTGATGCAGGTCTTAGACTTTACCACTTCAGTGAAACCCACGAGCACGGGTATGGTGCTGACAAACCTAGAAACATAATCGGGGCGAACCGGGATTCGAACCCACAATCATAGGTTTCTGGCGTGGCCAAGGGACGCAACTCTGCACAGCGAATTGCGGCGCCTTCGACGACTGGGCCATCCTGTCCCCGGATCAGCCAGTAGGTGTATACAAGGGTATATCATTCTTAAATGCTGAGAATACAGTCATAATATTTACGGCGCCTTAGACGACTGGGCCACTCGTGCCCCCTTGTATATAAGTATCCATGAGTGAGGGGGTGTTGTGAAACAATGAATTCAGCATTATTCAAGTGGTATGTGTGTGTCTAGTCTGGACCTGTCCAAATTTGAAGTAAAGTAATTCTTTCCCCCACCCCCTAAAATGCTGTCCTCGAGTTTGACACACACAAACCTCCTTCACTGGACATTGTATTTATTTATTGCATGTTTTGAAGCGCTGACAGAGCAATTATTCTGTCTCAAGCAGGTATCATATCAAAGCTAGCAATATATTTCATATGACTTACACTCCAACTGGTTCGTTTCTCATTTTTGCTTATTCGGATCAACTGCTTGTGCGGTGAACTGCAAAAAAAGTGCAACTGATTAATTAAAAAACTTGATGAAACAATTCCACTGACATCATGACTTTCACATCGGTCATCATTGTTTTGGCTAGACAAACCAGTGATTCGTCGGGACACGATGCGACGCAACAAAGAAATATATACTATTATCCATTAGAAAACTGGGACCTAATCTAACCTGGGGCTCCATCCCTATTATGAGGTTTTATTTTCGTTCGGGGGGTTTACTTTGAATGTAAAACCCCAAATCCCAGGTTTAACCAAGTAAATGAAAAAATGACAAGTAGCAATTCAAAATTTTAAATCAATTTAAATTGAATGTCATGTGTACAGTTCCGCGTGGACATTTAAAAGCGACATCACTTCAGAGTCTCTGGTGAAAGGACAGCGAGGTTTCAAAACACTTAAGTGCTTATCAATGCTGCACAATTTGCACGTGCAGTAACTGCTAGCCGTAACGTCACAACTACCTCTATGTAACAGTTGGATTGTTTAAAGTCGTAAATCTTGTAAAGCAAAAAACACCTTTAAAATATGCGAATTTTCGTTTTGAAAAGTTTAAAAGAAGTGGAATATTGCAACACAAAATTTAGAAACCGAAGATTTCACTTTCATTTAAAAGTAAGTATTTTAGTTGTCTTTTGTTGTTGACACATCCAAGTGCTCTTGAACGCCTGGCAAGTCAGCGAATTTCACGTGCAAGTTATGATATCACGTCTTCAAGGAAGCGCTATAATGAAGCGCCTCATTTATAGATGCTCGTTATAACATTTAATCAATTAAGACGTTTATAAGTAGGTTTATAAGTATGAAAAAAACACTTTCCCTCGGTTTTGGTAGACAGAGCATGCCCTTGGGGTCGGGAAAAACCGCGGGGGCTTCGCTCCCTTGGTTTTTCCCTCTCCCCAGGGTATGCTCTGTCTACCAAAACCTCGTAAGCGTGTTTTCTCCAATACGTAAACGTCTGACACCTGCATCACTTCAAGCTTTCCTCCCACATCAAGCTGACACGCCGTGATATAACTGGAATACTGTTAAAAGCGGCGTTAAACCCAACTTACTCACTCACTCACTCACAAACGCAGTGCACAAGATTGAATATGGCCAATGATCATAAAACCCTACCTTGTGGAAAGACTGGATGTATTTAATGACAAAACATTGGGAAATCAGGACTTTGTCCAATGGAAAATTAACAACCCAACACCCACCCATAAATTTTAAGAATTAAGTTTTTATCCGACATCGAACTTTTTAACTGGTCCCTTGATATGGTTATTCCATTTCCATGCTCATACTCTCATATTCCGATGGACGACATGAAGATATTTCATTTACTTCATTTATTCATTCATTCAACAAAAGCTATGTTACTTACCAACACAGAATGCATTTTGTGGCTGCAATATTGCTTTACATGCATGGCACGTGGGCACATAAGCATTAGCACATGGGCACTGTCGGACGGTCGGGTAGCCTAGTGGTTAAAGCGTTCGCTCGTCACGCCGAAGACCCGGGTTCGGTTCCCGACATGGGTACATTTCTGGTGTCCTCCGCCGCGATATTGCTGGAATATTGCTAAAAGCGGCGTAAATCCACACTCACTCACTTATAAGCATGATAAGCACAGACATGACAGACATGCGGCATGGTATCTCAGTGGGCTAGCACTATAAATCGGCATCAGTCCGGACTAGTACAAGCAGCCACACACACACATGCAGGTCGCTATATAAGGGCAATAATCGCGACGTTAAACCTCACTTTGCCTCACCTCACCTCAATGTTAGATAAGAAAGTTCCCTAGAAATGAAAAAATTAAGTGAGTGTGTAGTACTGAGGCCTATACACACTAAACTACTTTAAACCATACCCATAACCATTAGAAACTAGACACGTCTTCATGCTTGTCTAGGTGAGGTGATTAAACGGTTCGGCTGGTCAGACTCGGTTGATGCATATCATCGTATCTCAGATACGTAAATGGATACTGGAATAGTGTTGAGTTCGGGCTACGCAAAAAACAAACACTAGAAATATATTGCTGTCAACAGGGCTTTGGGCCTGTTGATATCCAAAGTTAAGACAATAGGCGGTATGCATTTTCCAAACCTATTCCAAATTGTACGATAGTATGGTGTGGTCTGTTCTTGACTACGGGGCGGCTATCTGGGGTAATTATGATGTGTCAGCAATAAATGCTGTACACCATAGAGCCATTAGATTTTATTTGGGACTCGGCAAATACGTCCCTAACGTCGCTATAAATGGCGACATGGGATGGATACCGCCTGTTGTCAGACAGTGGAAAAGTGTAGCAAGACAATGGTGTCGCCTTAAGAATATGTCATAGGTTAAACAAATACGTGTTTAACTGGGCTGATAGATACGCTGTAAATGGTTGTAAAAATTGGAATGGTAGGGTAAGAAAGAAGTTTACTAATATGGATTTAGGACATCTATTAAACGCTACAGGTTTTTATTGATAAATTTTCTGTTTGTACACAGGTGGAACAATGGTGTAAAAATGAATATGTTACCCGTTGGAGTGATATGTTAAGAAAGGAAGAGGGGCGAAATGGGCTTAATAAATTGAGAATGTATCGATGTTACAAACAAGTATATGGGACAGAATACTATGTTTCAAATAAGATGCCCAGAAACTATAGATCGGCACTAGCCAAGTTTAGATGTGGAGTGGCTCCTATTCGAGTTTTCACTGTAATGACAGCGTAGAAGACGAGGTCCATGTTTTGTTTCACTGCGTATTATATGATGATATCAGGGCAACTCTTTTTAACGAATGTATTGCTAAATCTTATATTTTTTTAGATATACCTGATATTGACAAACTTTGTTTTATTTTCAGTGACTCCAGTGTGTGTTTTATACTTGCCAAAGTCTGCTTTTTAATTCTTAATCGTAGAAAACATCTTTTATATGGATAACTTTTTACTATATCATCTTTATATCATTTATGTATAAATTCTGTGATAATTCGTCTCTCATAATTCTATTGAATGGTTCTGTACATTTTATATATGTCAGGTTGTATAAAGCCGTTTTTATGTATGTACAGGAGTGAGACGTTAATAAACTATTGTCTGTCTGTCTGTCAATCCTATTGGAGAGTGGTAGAGAACTGAATCGGTATCAGTGTTAAAGGTGACAATGTTATGAGAACGACAGTCTGAATATCATGCTGAAACTGATACTCGTAAACATGTGATAATCGTGTCTCATTGAGGCATTTGGTTTTACGCCGCTTTTAGCAATATTCCAGCATTATCACGGCGGGGGACACCAGAAATGGGCTTCACACATTGTACCCATATCGGGAATCGAACCCGGGTCTTCGGCGTGACGAGCGAACGCTTTAACCACTGGGCTACCCGACCGCCCCCATACATAAAGGGTAAAACGGACAAACTGTCATCTGACCAGACCAAGAGAGGTTCTCTCACATCAAATATGTTTTCTTGTCAGTCCGTGATTGATTAACAAATCTCAGTCATTTGCAACAATGCTCAAAGCGGCGAAACTCTCCCCTTCCTCGTTCACCCAGTCACGTGTCGCTAGTACACTATTTATGTTACACAGATTAACAGATTTACATCTTCCTGAGGGGGCAGGGGTGGCCCAGTCGTCTAAGGCGCCGCGATTCGCTGTGCAGAGTTGCGTGCCTGGACACGCCAGAAACCTATGATTGTGGGTTCGAATCCCGGTTCGCCCCGATTATGTTTCGAGGTTTGTCAGCTCCCTACCCGTGCTCGTAGGTTTCACCGAAGTGGTAAACGTCTGAGACCTGCATCACTTCGGGCTTTCCTCCCACATTAAGCTGACACGCCGTGATATAACTGGAATACTGTTAAAAGCGGCGTAAAACCCAACTCACTCACTCACTCAATCAATCACCTCTTCATGAGGTAATGGCGTCAACTGACTATAAAAGTCCTTTTTCCACCCTTGTCGAACTAGGCTGGAATTTCGGAGCTCGATCGTAGCGCCACTAGTAGCAATTTATGTCCTTTCTATGTCCTTTCTATTGACCAGATTCATTCTCATGTCACTTGCATTTGCTTCAAACAAAATGACGGTGCCAGTCAACGCGATCTGATCAATATTAAAGATCTATATTGTAAAACAACTGTCGACGCCCAGTTGACGGTGCACATGCTTGCAACAGCTGCAGGCGACCGAAACCTCCACGTTGAAATCCACGTGAACCGGATTTCTAGTTCGTTTCGCGATTTTGATTCGAATGTGCATAGACACGTTAGCCCAGCCGGATTCCAGCCTAGTTCGGCAAGAGTGGAAACTGGACTTTTATAGTCAATTAACACCCTTGCCTCGGGGAGATGCTGATGACACACGCCTTCATTAAACACACCAAAGAATTCTTCAACATCAAGACATCCAAAACACCCCAATATGACAAGAAAATTGACAGTTATATCGTGTCAAAAGAAAAATAACAGAGACCAAACAGAATGGAAACGTGAAATTAAGACACATACTAAAAGCAGTGCCATGGAGTCCCATGTTGAACCATGGCCTAGTTGGATGCATATTGTTATGGCAATATCCATGGCCCCTTGGTCCCAAACTTGATCAAATCGGGATCAGATAACTCCGATGCTTTGGTCCTGTTCACAGTGATCATTGGTCCGTTTCAGACCAGTGATCACTTTGAATAGGACCTAACAACCTACACTAGAGATTTGATAACGGTCTTGTGCCAAGTGTTGGATATTTCTTACACACTTGTGCGTGAGAAACCCATTTGAGATAATTCCGACCCGTGGTTGGTTACCTTGGGTTTTTAAGGTAAATAACCCTTTCAATGCCATTTGTATTTTTACCGGTGTATTATTTATAGAATGAGTAAAAACGAAATGAAACCTTTTTCCAATCTTCTAAAGGAAAGCGCTTAACATTATGAAGTAAAGAAATATTTTGATTATCAAATGTAATCAGAAAAATTCTTCACCCACTGGT